AAAAAAAAATATATACACACACACACACACACACACACACACACACACACACATATATATATATATATACACACACACACACACACACACACACACACACATATATATAGGGACCAGCACATGGTTTAATGGTTATGTCACTGGACCCCCGTATGGCTGACTGTGGTTCAAGTCCTAGATCCGAAGACTTGAAACTCATACTGAGAGCATATGCATATGTGTCCAAAATCCCAAGAGGAGAATGAAGAAGGGACTCTGGCATGGCCATCCCTCCCTAGGGGTGATTTCTCACTTTCTGTCTCTCCCTCTCTTTGTGTGTGTCTCTCTAGTGAGTGCAAACACTCCATAACAAAAATCTCTCCAAAAAAAATTTTTTTAAATGCTGGAAACAATGTATCAGAAACAAAAAGGCTAGTAAAAAAAGTTTTTGAAACAAAACACTGCCAGTGATGTTAGTTTCATGACAGGTTGTCTGTGGATACCCACTCAAGTCATTTACAGCTCTAAGAAAGAAACATTAAAACCTTCTCTGCGTAAGTTAACGGTAACAATTTCATCCTAACGTTGCTTTCATTACCCAAAAGCTAAACTTTTATGTAAAACTCATAATACAGTAGACCCAATTGACAATATCCTATCTTTCTCAGCCCTGCTAGAAGTAAAGAATGTTAGTAAAATCTATTTGGTAGTACATTTCGGCAATAACAAATGTCAAGATAGAATGAATTCTTGATGGAAGGAAGAAAGGTCCATGTGTTCCACCATGGACTGTGAACCAAGTACTATGCTAGACACTTTATCACAGCCCTGAAAAGCAGAACAAAATATTCATGTATAATCCAAGTTGTGATATTAAAATGTTTCAGAGTTTTTGCTCAAATTCCCTGGTTCACCCAGTTTCTCTCCCATCGAAGCTCCCCTCCCTCTTCCCAGCTAATGGCCAGAAAGATGCTGACACAGAGTAAAGAAGCCAGGATACCAGCACTGAGGAGGAGCGGAAGAATCTACAGGCCTATAAAAGCCTGGCCTCGTCCCTAAAATAGACTTCATCTGCCCTGGAACAGTCAAGAACAAGCCAGGTGAGATTGTCGGAGGCTAAAGCATTGAACGAAGTTCACAACTTTTTCTTCGCCTTACACCTAAATGTTAATGCTCTGCAGATAACAGCACAAAAATGGCTTACGGCGGCGGGCCGTAAGAACAGAGGGGAGAAATCACTTACTCTCCCAGTTTGGCCCAGATGGCCAGCGACACCCTCAGGATGATTTCTGAACCTTCAAAGAACACCGAATCCCAGATCTTTAAAACCGTATGATTAGGGAGGCACGTAGCAAAAAGGGTCAGAAACCACTGCATCGTGAAGACATTCGTAAGTGGGGGCTCGTACCCACCTGAAATAAAACAAACACATGAAATTCCTTGAGAATTGATGACTCTTGAGATGTAAATAAATACCTTCTTTCCATCTTCCATGTCCACCCAAATAAGTTATATTTGTTGACTAATTTTTCCTATCTCTAAATTCTGGTTCTTTCCTCTTTATTTCCTGTCCATGGTTCTAGAAGAACATGGGTGTGTCTAATAAAAAACCTCAATATTGGGACCAGCAGGTAGCATAGATCGCTGGACTCCCACGTAGTCGACTGTGGCTCAAGTCCAGGACCCAGTGCCTTAAAACTCACACTGGGAAAAAAAAGGGGGGGGGGACCAGCAGTGGCGTGGTGGTTAAGGCACTGGACACTCCCACATGGCCGACCACGGTTCAAATCCAGACCCGGTGGCTTGCTTTCTCATTTCTCTCTCTCTTCCTCTCTCTCTTGCTCTCGCTCTCTCTCCCTCTCTCCCTCTCTCTCTCTCTCTCTCTCTCTCTCTCTCTCTCTGTGTGTGTGTGTGTGTGTGTGTGTGTGTGTGTCTTGCTCTGGTCAAATTATAAAATAAAATAATAAATAAATAAAATATTTTTAAAAAACACTGTGTGTGTGTGTGTGTGTCTAAGATCTCGAGAGGAGAATTGAGGAGAAAGGATTGTGGCATGGCCATCCACCCCCACACACACCCTGGGGAGGTGATTTCTCACTTTCTCTGTCTCTATCTCTCTGACAAGTGCGTGTGCCCTATATAAAAATCTCTCTTAAAGGGAAAAAAAAAGCTCAATATTATAAACTTCACAAATTATTTACGATACTTCAGAAATCTTAAACTAAACTTAGTTTGGCTCTATTTATTGTATGGTGCCAAAAATTAAGGAGAAAGTCTTCTTTGCCAAACCCAGGATTAAAAGAAAGGATTTTAGCCTCTCAAAAACAAAAAGTCACCATATTTTCATTATCTTATAAAGTCTACTTTACTTATATACTGCTAAGAACAAAAATGCTCATTTCAAATGAACTATCTACTTCTTAAACTATCATAGTCCTCAGTCCAAAATGAAACTATACTGGAGAACACTAACAGAAAAATAACTGAAGACCCAGCGGTTGGGCGCAATGGAAATGCAAGTGCCCTGCAAGGCTAGAAGCCACAGGCCGGCTCTGGTTGGCATCTCCAAGACAGCGTGAAAACATCTGGGCATATGTGCACCTGGCCACCTCAGATCCTGAGGAACCAGAGGGCTGGGGACAGATCGCAGTACGATGGGACCCAGGAGAGGGTGCTTCTCTCTCTTACTCTCTTTCTCTCTTGCTTTTCTCTTATATGTTCATGAATACATTATCATTATTTTTTTTCCTGAATAGCTGGTAATTCCCAAAATATTTAGAGATTAAACATTAGATTTTAAAATATTTTGTCCTAAATTATACACAGCTTAAAAGATCTGGGCTCCAGCCCACTTTGAAATTTCTGAATTCACTCAAAAGGCAACACTCCTTCCCACCTCCTGTGACAACTTAAGGGTGTATTTTAATGAAATATAGAAATTTAGATATTTAAGCGGATCCTCTCTTTAAAGTATAGTTGATATGTGCAACTACCCAAGTACTGGCGAAAAGACATCTCTTTTCCTGCACTCATTTTCTTTCTTCTTACCTATGAGCAAAGGAAACATCTTTGTTCAGGAACTAGAACCTGAGGTCATTCTTCATAGTCAAGTGCAAGACACTTGAGGAAAACATGCAGCTCAGTAAAGTGTGACCGGCTGCGACGCAGGCCAGGTTGGTCTATCTGGTGCAGTCACACTGCTCAGCCAGCTTAAATGAGAAGGTTATTCAAATGGCTTCAAAGGAACAGTGTGGAGACACCCAGGTTCACTAAGACTCCCAAAGTATTTCAATCACAGAATAGCTTCTGAAAATCCTTTAATATTTTCTCAGAGTTCCAAGTGTGAGACAGACGGGACTGCATGTGCACAGTCTACAACAGGGCCTGGCAACAATCTACGTGAAATAGAACCAACTTCTGACTACTCTTCCTGGTATCCTGAGCACGGCTAGTGCAAGTAGTGGTATAATTATAGCTACCCGCACAGGCACCTTCAAAAGGACCTACACGCTCCCTAGGTAACAGCAACTCTCTGAGCTCCTCTCCCATAACCTCAGTGGTTCCAGCAAAACCACGGTCTGTGCTAAATTGTACCTGAAGCTCAGTTTTAAAGAGCTGCTGCCAGCTCAGAGCAGTTTAATTAGAGGGCAAAACACATACGCCATTCTTTGTCTTGAGTACAATATATTATTGTAGTTGCTAGTGTCATACTAATAAAGTATTAGACTCTCCTCTTTGAGCCATAAACAGTTTGTGGTTTAACATGTAACCTTATTTTTTTTTCAGGTTTACTTTTGTTCTCTAGAAATCTAGCTATTTCATTGCACCCAACTCTTACCAACAGAAATACCTGGAACTG